ATGACTAAAGATTAAAACCAAGATGATCAGCTCTGATGTTACATGGAAATTGTCTCTAAATTCGTCCTTTGTGCCCAAACCAGAATCTCAGCCACTGGCCTCTTTATTAGGAAGGCTCACCATGCTATGAGTAGTGCTCCTCAACAACTCCATCTAAAGCTGTCTTGCATAAAATTTGTGCATCCTAGATTCTAGCCCTGCACAACCCCATTAAGTTGTAAACGGATTTTATTTGCTGAACAAATGTTAATGCCATTCTACGTTAATGGATAATGCTACAGAAAGCCCCTAAGTATTACAGCATTGGAACCTTTAAGAATGAAATACAGAGTAACTTAAAAAACCGTTTCTTACAAACATATGTCAGCCATGAGGGCTCCTAGCTCATATTACCCATCTTCAGAGAGCTCAGTTATAATTTCTCCCTCGGTTAACTGAATTTTGCAATAATACACAGATTTATTGGGTCCCAGGATTAAAATTCTGAGTAAGAGTAAAAAATAATTACACTTTAGAATATAATATAATATTCAAATGGCTTGAAAACGGTCACCTCAGCAAAAATAAGGGGAGGAGAGGAAGAAGAAGTTTAAAGATAAGGTTGATAACGTTGGCCATAAAACCTCTGTGAGTTCAAGTGCACAAATGCATGATCTGGCACTTCCGAATCATAAACATGTGGAAATGGGAAACCTCCCTTTCATGGCAAAATGCCTGAGTGGTTTCATTATTGAGCCAGGGGGACTTTTTCATTTAAATAAGACGGCTTGGTAGATAAGATAGAGAAGGTGCTGATGCCAGAGGTGCTCGTTAAAGTCTCAGCTCTACCACTTTCTAGTTGTATGACCTTGCGCAAGCCATGTTTAACTTTCTTCTTCTGTAAAATGGGGATGTTAACAGTGCCTGACTCATGGGGCATCTGTGATGGTTAGAGTTAACACACGCAAGAAACTGAGAACAATGTCTCGTCTGTAATAAATGTTCCACAAATGTTAGCTCTTCATCAATTAGTACCTGTTACGTATAGGATTGATTGCAGATGGAAAGGCCCTGAATGGCAACCACAGCCTTTCCTCATAAAAGGTCTCTCACCTCATTGATGCTATAGTCTCAGTTTTCTTGTCTGGATGCTGTCCCCCCTACTCCACAGAAATAGCATGCAATAAAATCACGGAGGAGCTTTTTGTTGTCCAATCCATAGAGTGGTTTTCAATTCTTGTCTCTCTTCTCCGTTCAGAAATCCTGTACACTGTTGAGCTTGAAATTCTCTTTCCCTGGATTCTAGGACTTTCCATGGCCATGATTATCCCCCCAGCTTCCTGAGCCATGCCCTCTCACTTTCATTTGGAGGGGAATCCTACTCTCCCTGCCCCTTAAAAGTTAGAATTTCAGCTTTCATTGCTTCTCAGTCTCTCCTCTCTCCAGGTAAATTAACCTGGAAAATTATCTATGGAAAACCATAGATAACTAACAACATTGGCCTGTGGCTTTAGACCTCTGTTCTGAGCCTCAGATGGATGTATGCTCATCTACATTCTCCATGTTTACTGGATCGTCTCAAAGGTACTTCAAACCCAACATGTCAAAAAATTAATTTATTATTTCATCCCTCCCCCTCACATCAGCATCTCCTTCAATGTTTCTATGCCTGTGAGTGCCCCACCAAGCATCTCTCACCTGGACAGCTACAACAGCCTCTCCTCTTTCTTCGTCCTCTCCTCCTCTCAATCCATTCAGCCAAGCGGTCAGAGTAGAGTTTCTAAACAGCTAATCTGATCGCATCACTCTGGCTCAGCTCCTTCACTGGCTCCCCTATGCTTATCTTGAACATGGCTGAGAAGAAACAGCCCTACCTGGCTTCTCTTGTCTGGCTTTCCCACCTACTCTCTAGCCACTCTGGTCTCACTGCCCTTTCTGGGTCGCTAACTAGACAAACTCTTCCTGTTCCTCTGCTGGCAGCCTCAGCAGTCTTCTACTATGTCAATTATCTATTCAAACTCCAACTATTGGTCCAAATGTTGCTTCCTCACAGAAGGCCTAAAATTAGGGTCATGTGCCCTGAGTATTCATCACAATTAATATTAGACATTTATTTATTTTTTTTTAATTTTTTAACGTTTATTTATTTTTGAGACAGAGAGAGACAGAGTATGAGCAGGGGAGGGGCAGAGAGAGAGGGAGACACAGAATCTGAAACAGGCTCCAGGCTCTGAGCTGTCAGCACAGAGCCCGACGCGGGGCTCGAACCCACAGACTGTGAGATCATGACCTGAGCCGAAGTCGGCCGCTTAACCGACTGAGCCACCCAGGCGCCCCTAGACATTTATTTATAAGATTACAAATAAAACTTAGTATCTATATCTTCCAGCACATTGTTGCTTTCAAGAGGGTCATGTCTTTTTGGCCCACTATTGTTCTCCCAGTACCTCCCACATGGAAAGGGCATGCCAACACTCGTTAAATGAATTATCTCAATTTTTATTATTTTAAGGCATCTTCATGACCTGTTCATTCTCCACAATAAGAGAGAGAGATGGTTATAAGCAATAAGTACCTTGGTGACCTTGAACACATTAGGTTTACCTTGCTGATCATAAGGGGAGAGAAAGTAACAAGGAACACTGGGCTCCACAAGACTATCCATGGCAACCCACTGCTTTTAAGCCAATACATCACGTCCATGATTTAGAGCAAATGGAATCATTTGTGAGCTATCACAATGATATTCTTCCTTCTCCCTTGAAGGATTCCTTTCCTCCTTCACTTACTCACTTATTTATTTATTCATTCAACAAGATCATGAATTCTCAATTCCAGACATCAAGGCCATGGTGTGGGAGGAATATTGACATCTGGCAGATACATAGTAAATACAATAGGCTGTAACAGAGAAGGAGCCCTGAGCTTGTGTTTGGAAGAGAGGACATGCTTAGGACAAGAGGGGAAGACAGCCCTGAAGAATGACTCATGTGAGCAAGGCAGAGGACTGCCAGGAAAGCATTCCAGGCAAAACTGGGAATACTGACGTGATCCTCTAGGATAAGCACCAACTACTACTACTAACACCACAGGCTGACAGGTGAAGACAGAGAAAAGGCCCACCTGGACAACAACAGCACCACTATCGCCTCTGTTTCCTCTGAGTCTATGCTATCTCCCATCCTGGACCACTCCTCATGGGATCTAGGAAGATTGGAACATTACATAGAGCTCAACTGTCTTCTGATGAATTCATCATTTCCACTGCCCTTTACCTTGCACATGCTTACAAATTAATGATGTGGTTGGTCCAGGCTTTCCCTTTCATTCCAAGCCTGATTCCAGGCAGGCACGGCAGTAGCAGCACCAGTGGAGAATGAGGCGCAGTATCAGGAAATAGGAGTGAGATGAGGGGGTATAAGGCTTTCTTAAGCTTTCTTAAGAAAAAGAATAATAATGCTTTAAAACTCTTGATTGCAGCATTCAGCTTATTTTAAGTGAATTTTATATTACCTAAACTATATCCTTCTGGTGTGTAAATTTCTCATGCCTGTATTCAAATTTTAAGCTCTGTTTGGAGTATGGAAAAGAAAGGTCAAATGACAGATTTCTACCATAACCTCAGAAAAAATAAGAAAGGATAAGAAGAAGAAGGGGTCGAATTTTATAAATAGTGAAACCAAAGAAGGACTGGTGTGTTCTGCTATTAGCAGTCTACTGACATAAATACCATAACCGATCAAAGGAAGATGGCTTTAACACTGAATATTTGGATTCTAAACATGAAAGTATGTCAAAAGAGAAATAGGACAAGTATATCAGCACTTTACACTATTTGTTGTTTAATCTGAAACAAAGCTCCAGGTTAGGGATAATACAGATATAAAATACAGTATCTATTTTATTTAACATATATTAAATGCCAGAAATGAAGCTACCCACTTCGACAACTGTTTTCTATATAAATCTCTGCCAGAAAAGCAAAAATCATTATGAACTCAACAGATCAAACTTCAATTAATTATTTTGGTTAACTTGAGAGTTAAAAGGTTTATTTATGAAATAATGCTTTCCAGGAAGGACAAAAACTCTGCCTTTGAAAACAATTTGATGATTAATGCGAATTTTTAAACCAAATAATTATATTACTGTCATTCATTAGCAATTCAAGAAAAAGTGTGTAGGATGCCCAAAAGTTAGAAACACATTAAAATAAAGGGTTTTTTTTCTTTATAGGGAATTGCCATCCCATCTGGTCTAATTTGTCTTGGTGTTCTGCCCAGTGTAATGTCAGCTTTCTGGGAATGTAAATTATTAGGTTACTGCCCTGAAAAAATATGAGTGAGGAAAAAATATGGGTTGAAGATGACATCCTGATTACAAGTTTGAATACTCAGGAAAACACTAATATGGCAGGAGAGCCCAACTTAAGTGAATCTGGGTGTGAAATTGATTCACGGAGGGTGTCTACTAGAGATGGTGATGATGATGAAAAGGATAGCCTCACAGAGAGTAACCGGCAAAAACAATAAGATGCAAAACAACATGGAAATAAGTTTTCAGGCACTGAGTATTACCTCTTTGTCAGAGTGCTTCTGATTCTAATTAAGTTTAGGAGAAAACTAACAAGGCAACCCTTGCCTGACTGGGAAGTATAGGCTATTAAAGTATGCTTTTAAATAGTCGGGTGACAAATGGGGGCATCCAAATGTAAGCACAACCGTATTTTTCATCTCAACTCTGTTCTTCTGTCTCCCAGCTGATTACTTTAATATAGTGTCACCTCAGCCTGTACAAAGGCACTGGGTTGATGTGTAGCTCCAAGATTTTGAAAAGAAGAATTGCTTTTGTAAAGCAGCATTTGGGCAACTTATAGGATTGCCTTCAAAAAAGGTAAATGTCAAACAAGAAGCAAACAATAGCCTCCCTGGACAACGTAGCCACACGCTGCCTTCTATTTGGATTCTAGTCCAACCAATCGGTAAAATTTGTAAAAAAAAAAAAAAAAAAAAAGTCCTTACCCGAATTATTTCTTCAACACAGCTGTTTGTGTCTCCAGATCTGCTCTCCTGAAAGCAAAGGAAAAAAAAAAAATGAATTAGGTCTGAGAGCACAGATTTATGGTTACAAAGAAAAGATGACACATAAGCTTCTAAACTTGATCTTGGACTGGGGATGCCTGAAGTAGGGCTTACTGATGAACTCCTTTCCTTAATGGGCAGTGCGAATCACAGGCTATGACTGCTCCCCTCCCCTCTGAGGCACAGCGGACAGCCAGCCAGGAGCGCTGCATACACCTGAGTTTCAGCTTGGAGCCCTGCTTGGCTCAGTCATGGCCATACTTGGCAGGGCAGGCTCTTAGGGGGATAGCAGCCAATGGGCAGGTGTGAGCTCTTCACCTTGGGCTCTATCCATGTGTGGAAATGTGGCCTCCACTGCAAAAGTGGAACCAGTTCACCCACCAAATATGTGTAATGGCTTTGCCGAGTATAGTGGCTTGCTAAGGCTTAAGTAAAAGTCCATCCCCACTTTTTACGTAAAAGTCTGGTAGTTCCACCATCCTCAAAGCCCAGATTTACTGGTTTGATGAGCAGAAAACTGAAAGACCAAAAGGAGAAACATCCTCTCAACATTCGCACAGCATGCTGGGTGTCATACTCCACAGCCACTTGTTCTGTGACCCACGCTGCCCTGTGCTGGGGAGATGTTAAGGACTCTGAGGAATGGTGGCTTCAGGTCAGAGTCGACACTGGGGAGCATTTTAAGATCCAGAGATGACGTGTGGTTACTGATGGTTCCATAGCTCAGAGCTCAGGAAGTGGTATGGTGGGGACATGAAAGCAGCATCTGCTGGTAGAAGTGTCCACTGTGGTCTGAGGGAGATACTTCCCCTGGCCTTTTAATTCAATGAGGCTGGCCACAGCTCAGTCTGACATTCTAGAACAAGGCTGTCTTCACAGTCTTCTCCAAGCCTGCTTTCCTGTCCTCTTCACAATTCTCTCTCCACCAGGGAAGCAAATGTGCCCTTTTCTGGGTTTCCTGGTTAATTCCAAGTCAGCCAGCAGATCACAGGTCAATCAGGATTTCCTCAGAGCAGCCGTAGCTAAGCCTGCAGTACTCATCTTCAGCCACATTTACTTCTTCAGAGCACTCACCACACTCAATAACTAGCTCCTTTATAATATCTCTTTCCTACAGAACATACACTTCACAAATTCAGGGGCTCTGTGTCTTTCAGCTGTGCTTCACGCAGTCCTGAGTATGTGTGGTAAACTTTAGCTAGTGGACACCGTATGAAGAAATGCATAAACCTACTTCGTGTAGTCTTAGAAATGTGAGGAGTACCATAACTGGCTGCAGGACTTTGGAATATTGCAAAGGCTCTGCCAAAGAGCACACCTTTGCATCCTCCCCATCCCTGTGTGAGCCACCCCATCCCCTCTACCTGGTGGAAGAGCATTCTGTTTGAAATATTCCACCCTTCGTGCTGGGTAAGGGGGCAGAGTGAATGAAGATATGTGAAGCTTGAAAAGGTTCCACCCAAGATTGAATTTGTCCAAGTCCCTTAATGGAGGCCCAAAAGTTTAAGAGACTTACCCCTTGCCACATAACAGCAGTGCCTGGACCAGAACATAGGACTCCTGACCCTCAGTCAGGTACCTGCTCACTTCCAGAAGCTTTCCCCAATCCCAAAGCTGTGTTTGAAATATATCTAATCTGTTAGCAAACCTGAGCTTATTTGTCAAAGTACTTCATTACCAGGGTTTTTACACGGTTATATAAGTTTAGAAACTTCGTGTGTGGGGGGGGGGGGTAAAATATGCAAAACATAAAATTTTCCATTTTAACCATTTTAAAGTGTCTAATTTATTGGCATTAAATACAGTTACAATGCCACCACTATCTAGTTCTAGAAGTTTCTCATAACCCTGAATGGAGTCCCCATGCCCCTTGAACAGGAATTCGAATTCCCCATTCTTCTCTCTCCCCAGCCTCTGATAACCACTACTTTCTGTCTTGATGGATCTTTCTATTCTGTATATTTCATGTAAATGGAATAATAAAATACATAGTCTTTTATGTCTGGCTGGTTTCACTTAGGATAATGCTTTCAAGGTTCCTCCATTTTTATTTATTTATTTATTTATTTATTTATTTATTTATTTATTTATTTATTTGGGTTAGGAGGGGCAGAGAGAGAAGGAGAGAAAATCACAAGGAGGTTCCATGCTGTCAGGGTGAAGCTCGCTGTGGGGCTCAGTCCCACGAACCATGAGATCATGACTTGAGCCAAAATCCAGAGTCAGATGCACATCCGACTGAGCCACCCAAGCACCCTGGTTCCTCCATATTATAGCATGTATCACACTCCATTCTTTTTTATGGCTGAATAATATTCTACTGTATGGATATACCACATTTTGTTTATCTATTCATTAACTGATGGGCATTTTGATATTTCCACTTTGATTATTGTGGTATCACTTCTACAAACATCCATGTACAAATTTCTGTTTGAATGTCTGCTTTCCATTTTGGGGGGTATATAATTAGGAGTTGAATTAGGGGGTCATATGGCAATTCTATGCTTAGCTTGTTGAGGAACTGCCAAACTGTTTTCCACACTAGCTGTACTATTTTATATTCCCACCAGCAATATATGAAGGTTCTAATTTCTCCACATCCTCACAAATACTTGTTTATTTTTGTTTTGCACTGTTTTGTTTTTGATAGTACCCATCCTACTGGGTATAAAATGATATCTCATTACAGGTTTGATACGCATTTTCCTAATCACTATTGGTGTTGAGCATCTTTACCTGTGCATGTTGGTCATTTGCATATCTCCTTTGGGGAAAATGTCCTTTGCCTACTTTTTAACTGTTTGTTGTTTGTTTTGTTTTTTTATCTATTGTTTATTGTAAGAGTTATTTATATATTCTGGATTCTTGACCCTTATCAGATATATGATTTGCACATATTTTCTTGCATTCCATGGGGTATATATTCACTCTCTAGTTAGTTCAAGGATGTACATAATTTTTAGTTTTGATGAAGCCCATTTTATCTATTTTTCCTTTGTTCCTTTGCTTTTGGTGTCATATCTAAGAAATCATTGCTAAATCCAAGGTTCTGAAAGATGTACTCATGTTCTCTTTTAAGAGTTTTACAATTTTAGTTTTCATATTTAGGTCTTTAATCCAATTGTTTGAGAACTTTTAGGTGATATTTATTTCCTTATGGATTATTTGTTAAGTTCTAGTTAAAATAGGAACATTCTCTTTGTATAAATTACTTTATGCTGGTTCATCACTAAAGGATTAATAACAAAATGCATAAGGCACAGCCACTGTTGCTCACAGTGCATGAACACAACATACATGTCTAAATCAAGAAAAATAGTCTTAAATAGTATGACAGGATTAGGAGACCCAAATGCATTTAATAATATTTCATTATCCTTTCCTACACCCATCCCTCCTGTTTTCCCAAAAGTTTCAGTTTGGTGACACACATCTAATAACTTCCTCCTCTCATCCCCAGTGCCTTATCCTACCTAGGACTGCTCTGGAAACCTCACCATTCTAACACTCCAATCAAACTGGATCAAGTTGCTCTTCTTAGAACCTGCCCCAAACCTACTTCCTTTCCAGGGCAGCCTGAGGGAGTCCACAGAGGCTGCACGGTAAAGTCTCAGTCCAGCCAGGGCTCAGCGATGTTTAGAATAAGCTCCTTTGGAGTTCAGTAGTGGGTGTAAGTGGTCTCAATTGGAAAACCTGTCTTCAAATTTACAACCGTTTTTCTTACCCTACTTTTAAGTCCCAATTCTTTCCTACTCCATAACATACTGGCAGAGTAAATGCTAAGTTCCCATGTACTTTCTTTTTTTTTTCTTTTTTCTTTTTATTTAAACTTTTATTTATTTAAGTAATCTCTACACCCAGCATGGGGCTCAAACTGACAATCCCAAGATCAAAAGTCTTCTGTTCTACCCATATACTTTTTATTTTCCACCTTAAAATGGTTAATCAAGAAAAACTTGATGTCATGTTCACCTGGTAGACTCACCCAGATACACAAAATACTAAAAAGATTCTTCAAAATAAACTTTGGGTTGATTCCTTAAAGCTACAGTTCCTCTGAATACCACACTTTAATTTCATTTGAAGTGATTTATATAAATGACAGGGTGTACTTAATGGATATTTCTCCCTGTAATCCCATAAATTTCCACTATCCTATTCTAAAAAGGGAATTCACGGAGAGAGACATATAGTATAGATGCTTGTAGATGGTGTATGTAAGATTATTACACTGGATCATCTCACTGACTGCTCCAACCATGAATTTTGATGGTCTGGACAGACATCAGGTCATTCCTTACTGGGAAAGACCCTTATTAAAGCTGAGAAACTATCAGGACTGAAGCCAGGACAAATGACTTCAAGTAGCAGTGTCAGGAAGCCCTGGGCTTAAATTACAGTATGGAGAGTCCTTGCCAGAGGAAAATTTTGGTCCTCCTCTGGAACATTTCTTACACCTGGAGACACCTAGGGACCTAAGAAGGGTACCATGTTGAATCTGAATCTCTAGGACCCCATCTTGGTTAGAGTGGGTCTGTGAGGCACAGTACCGTAGAAAGTTTGAATTGGGAGGAAACTTAGAGCTCATTTGAGGCCAACTCAGTGATTTTAACAGATGGAGAAACTGTGGCCCAGAGAAGTGAAAGACTTTGCCCAAAATCATTCTGGCAGGAAGGGGCAGTCAAGCTGGAATCCACACCCATTTCTTCAATACCAGTTCAGTGCATTTTCTACTATGTCATCCTGTCTCTGTAAGATCAGCCTTTAAAACTGGTATAATTTGAGGTCACTGTTATGCTTGAAATACAGAAATTAAAGAATCTATAGAGTATGTGGGTAAATTCCCATGTTGCACATTATCCAATACTTAGTCACCTTGTGTCTTACTAACTTCTAACATCATATGCATAGACCAAAGGAGGAAGAGACAGGAAAGAAAGTGGACAGAAAGGGTTAAAACCACAATCCCTTCTATGGCATTAACA